TGTGTTCCATGGTACAGAATGAACCTCTTATATTGTATACAGTCTCAGAAAACATGTTTTAAACTTTGTGCTGTGGGTGATACATTAAGTCTTTCAAGATGTGTCAGCTTGCTTAACCTTATTTGCAATTAAACCAGTTACACAGCACATTTTCTTAGCAGTTATGAGCATATACAGGGAAGTGTGGTTTTTAGCGTCTACTGCTCTTAATACTTACTGTTTTAAATAAAGAAACAAACCCTGCCATTTGGTGGGCTACTGTGGGTTTCAAACTACTTTTGAGCTTCTTGAAGTGCGGAAGAAATAGATGATGCCAAAAAAAGAGCTTTAGGGTAGTTATTGTGCTCTTCCTATACATTTAGAGGAAAATTCTTGAGTTGGGTATCTCAGAAGTATTTAATAGCAAAACTTTTCCTCAAAACCAAAGAAGCATTATAGATGCAGTAGAAACAATACAGTACAGATTGTAGCTCTGATACCACAGAGGTAATTGATATTTGTTATGTTACAGATACAGCTAGTAGCTTGTAGGTGTCAGAGGTGCAGCTGAAGTGTAGCATTGAGCATAATCATTTAAAGTGCATCAGAGTGATCCTGTGTAACTGGATTCTCATATCCCATGTACATAGAGTTGGGCTGAGTAGATTATTATGTGATATAGCTCATTTTGTTGTTTAGTTTTTTTGCTCTTTAAATCTGTAGTGGAAAGCCTAAAATTTTAAAGAAAAAATGAGTTGGAATATAGTCTTGGGTCACAAATGTAGCAAAATGCACCTTTAAGTGGCTCCAGAATGCTGATAGGGAAGTGTCTGTGGCTTGGGAGCTTTTGGTTTTGTCTGTCTGTCTGGAGGGAGGTATGTAGAGGAGTGGAAGCACATGCTCACACTTGGTACTGAGATTTCGTTTCTCCACTCTAAATCATGTTTTTGATTGCTACCTGTGTCTTAACTGTCTGCTCAGTGTTTTCTCAACTCATTTGCTTTTCTGTTCTGAGTCTCCTTAGCCACATAGACATCTTGATAAGTGCATTGTCATTTGCTGTTGAATCTTGCAGCACATCATGTGCACTTGTGAATAATTATATTTATTATTCTTATTTTTCTACATCTTCTAGAAGAAAGTAAAGTCTTCCACTATTAAACTAAAATATCCCTTGACAATAAGGAGTAACTAGGATATCTGATTCAGCAATGGAATGACATTTTCACAAAATGTCCTCAGTTTTATTTTAAGATTAGAGGCTTAATCTGATAAGGTTGCTTTGTTTCATGGCATCAGTTCAAAGTATTGTACCAAATTACTTTTGTTCCAATAAAGCCAGAATTAGATAAATACTTTGTTCCTGGTCCAGCTGAGGAGTGACAGTGATGAATCATACAAAGATTCATCACTAGATATTGAGATGAGGCTCTCCATCCAGGGTATTCTCTGACTTATTAAAAATAAAGTATTGCATAGTGCTTTCTTCTAGTATTTGCAACAAAAAGGGTGGTGAGACTGTAGCCTCTTGGTAACTTTGTGTAGTGATATTATTGCATGTGAAGGTAACCTGTGTACACCAAAACAGGAGAGTTTCTTTTGTGCTGGGAGCAGTTTCACTTCCCTCTATGCCCCTTTCTCTAAATGCTAGCTAGAGGGAAATGATGAACTTGAACTTGCTTTGATTTAGGAGGCTGCTGGGATGTGTTGCTGTAGTTCTGTTAGCATTGAAGTATGTACTTCAGGTATTGATATGACCTCTAAATTGAAATTAAGGTAGCTACTGATTCACATAAGAAAACTTGTAGCTAGAATAATGTGAGAAAGCTGATCCATGAAAGGTAGAGGTTTTTCGCAGGCAACGAATATAATCCATAACCTTTTGTCAGGCCTGATGGGATAGTTAGAATTGGCTTTTGTTGTTTGAAATATTGAGGTCAGTGCACTCATCTTGTATCAATTTATAGCTTAGAATTATATCAAGAGAACTGTGCTGGAATTACTCCAATAATAAACCTACTGTCATACTTTTTTTTTAAATTGGATGGATACAATATGAATACAGCTTTTGAGTACTAATTTCTCAAACATGTGGAGGGCTGCAAATATCCAACCCAAGAGAGCTGCTAATGTGGTTCTAATCATACTCTACAGATCCTGATTGCTTTGCTGGGCTTGCATAACCTGGAAAAGCTGTTTTGGATGTCGTAGCTGGGAGCAGGGGAAAGACAATGTGAGGAAGTGCAGTGCTATATGCAGTGTGTGCCTGGCTTGCTTCTGTTGAGCATGGAGCAGTCAAGGGCAGGTGACATGCACCTGCTTTTTTATTCACTGACTTCTAGGAAAATCTTTTCCAGCTGGATCTTCCTTGTGTTCTATTCAAGCCCCTTTGTCAGCTCCTATCAGGGCCTGCTGTATGTGTGAGTCTGAGCTCTTAGAATGAATTACAAGAAAGAAAATATTTCCTACAGGCACATAAAGAGATTGACATTTTAGCTGTTAGAATTGCATTATCCTTTTCCTCAAAGTGCCTAAGTATTCTTCAGACCAGTCATACGATGCTAGAGTCAAAATACCGAAATTTGTAGCTTGCTTCAAAGACTTGTTTGAAATTACTTACCTTTGAATTAATGTGGCCTTGTATATTTGAGTTTTTGAAAGTCCTAGCAAAAATGAATTGTCATAGTCATTATAGATCAGGTTGCAACTCAGTTAAGTGTGGTGCTCAGGTAAATTTTTGGGAGATTAGCAAAATTATTGAATCATCTTTTATGTGTAATTACCTAATGCCATGTAGACTATTCTTACATCAAAGGCTTTGACACTTTTGGCAACTGACTTCTGTTTCCACATATTTTAAGAAAACAAAAAGTTAAGGCTTGTCCTTCCATGTTGGGTTACTCTAAATTTCTAAAAACTGCTTAATCCTGCTGTTCACCTGAGTATTTTTTGGTTTGCTCACTAACCCCAGAATGAGTGAGGGCTGTGTGTTAAAAGGTAGATATTAGTTGTTTTGTCTCTGGCATGTTTTCCACTGTGGATGTAAAATGCATTTTACTGGTGATAAATGCACCAAACTTAACCCATACCTATTAATTTAAGAGCAGAGCCTGCTGACTGTATTCTTCAAGTATGTGAAAACAATGAAGAAGAATAAAGTATTTAGTCTGTAAATGGTATTGATGGTTTCTTGCCACACTTGTACAAAGCTTTCTGCTCCTTACTAACCACAATGGCTTCAAATACCCAGTCGCAATCTTGTTATCAAGCAAGGTTTTCAGACAAACCTGCTTATAACTGGGATATCTGATATAGGATGTTGTCTCTCCTTTTTTGGTTATAGGCCTAAGACTTTAGATAAGCTGAAATTTGATTAGTATAAATTCATCAAGTTGTAATACAGAGAGCAAGTACAATAGCCCAGTGCTAAACACCCTTGCTACAGTCTCCTGTGATAGAGTGTTGTTGCAGGAGGTAGTAAAAAGTCTTATTTGAATGTAGGGATTTTCTAATACTGGAGTATATAGGAAAGGGAGTATTCTATTAGTGGTAAGCACAGTATAACTATCAAAAGCTGTAGTGCCTGAAGGACTGGTGATAGTGAAGCAAAACTAACCTGTGTGGATAAGTGTACTTTAATATTTGCCCTGTCAGATGGAAAATATGCTATTAATTGGGTCAGTGTCTAAAACTGTGATGATGTAACCTTATGGATACTGAGTTATGTGTGTTTTCAAATATAAATCCTATTTCTGTGAAGGTTTTTTCTGTCTTTTGGTTCAGAAATATGATTCTAAAATATCTGTGTGAAATTCATATCATCTAAGCAGATTTGATTGTTGCTGTTGTGAGAAAAGCAGATAGTGCTCAGAAGAGGTTTTTATCTGAGATTTGTAACAGATGGAATCTATAGTATAGCAGATCAATAAAATATTGTCAGGTAAGCCTGACTCTATGTAGCCCTACCTTCTAAGTGTTGGTGAATTGAAACTTCTGAAGTCACCTCTAAGCTTTTGGCTTTTAAACTCCGGTGTAGCAGAGTAAGTCGTGATATGAAGACTTGGTACTGATCAGATGATCCTCAAGGTCAGCTAACTGAGAATCATAAACTACTTACTTTAGAGGTTTTAATTTTCAATTAAAATAGTTTAATAGATTAATAGTTTTCTGATGTTTAAGGTTTGCTACTGTGCTGTTAAGCTGTTTGTTACAGGTTGGCTAAGAGGGTCAAATATGTTCAACATTTATGTCCTGTCGCTGTAGACTGAAGGGGTAGTGTTAATGCGTTAGTTACATTGAACACAATGATTGTAGTGATTAGTTCTTCACTATCTGCTCTTGGAAAGTGTCTGAGTGTTTTTTTCTCTTCTGGGCTATTCTCTCTCTGTTCTGTTCATCAGACTTTCTAGAAAACTCTGGATGAAGGTGCAACTAGGAGAAGAAAAGTTGTTTTTGTAAATTCTCACCTTAGGTCATACATGTACCAGAGGGATGTAGCTGAAGAGCAGGAGCTGCTCTTGCTGCTGAACGTTGGATGACTTTAATACAGGCAGCACTCCAGAGGGGCACTTTGACAGCAGTTTAGGCTGGTGTAGATTGAACTGTTGTGGTCTTCTCTATGCATAGTGGTTGCTTGTGTAGTTAAGCAGCAAGCTGGTTCCAGCAGCAGATCTGGCCCATGACACCTTCCACATATGTTGGTTTGTTCAGTGCCTGGTCAGTGCTCATACAGAGAGCTCCTTTGAGCTTTTACAAGACATCCAAAAATCATCTGTGATGAATGTATCATAAACTACTGCTGAATACCTGTTTGAACCCAAATGCAAGTTGAGGTGAAACTAAAAGGAAACCTGAATATAATTTAAGGCAAAAGACAGAATTTAACCCTTGGCAACTGAATTGTCTGATGTTAGCATGTTATTGCTAGTCTGCAGAATGGAGAGAGCAGATTCCTAATGCATGAATGGCCTTGGAGCCTGTTCTGGCCCATTAAACTTTTATTAAATTATATCCCTTTTTAGCCACCGAATTCTAGACTTGGTAACAGAGGTGGTGCTTGAAAATGTGTATCATGCAAGCTTGAAGAAAAACACCTGCTTTGGTCCTGTAAAACTTTTTCAGAAGTTAATGTACTGGAATTCTAAAGCAGCTTGTATGTTTATTCTGAGGCTTTTCACCACAAACAAACACAGAACCAAAAAACATATGGGGTGATTTGTGGGCTCACTTGAGCAAAAAAAGGGAAAAGATACAGACAAGGAAACTTGTAGAATATGAATGTTCCAATATGCTTAGTGATAAAACCAAGCTGGTATTGTTTGTTTGTTCTAGTAGCTCACTGTGATAGTGAGCTGCTTTGCCTAATTCCTGCAAATGAAAAATCCTGCTAGGCTGGTTCCTATCTTAAATTTCACGTACTCTTATGAAATGCTTTGAGTTCAGCTTAGACTTATCAGTCTCTTTCTACACAACTCTTATCCTTCCCAAATTATTTGGAACAACAGCAAAAAGATGTAGTAAATGATTTGCTCAAGCCAAATTTATTTAGAATAGACTGCTGACAGACTGTAGTAGAATGACTAGCTGGCTCAGTATTGACTCAGCCATCTGGCCTACAGAGTACTTTGATCTGGAAATCTGTTTTTATTGATTTAGATGTTTTTATGAATAAATTAATTTGAATCAAATGAGCGGTTTGTGTAAAACTTAACTCTAATCTGTTCTCCTCTCCAGGCATCTTTTCTTACAAAGAAGCTAAATATTGGTGGGAAAAGAGTAAACCTTGCAATATGGGTATGTTTGTTTTGTGTTTTTCCTCTCCTGTAGTTAAGCTAAATGAGAGTATTTTTCTGAAAAAAATTACTTAGGTTTACTGTAACTGAAATGTTTTAGGTACTTCTTAATCAAGTAAAATTTCTTTGTGTTTGAAGTTTCTTGAAGTATTGTTTGCTTTGTCTTAAATGCTAACAGGTGTATTTTAAATGCAGGATACAGCTGGTCAGGAAAGGTTTCACGCATTGGGGCCTATCTACTACAGGGATTCTAATGGCGCCATTCTAGTGTATGATATAACAGATGAAGACTCTTTTCAAAAGGTACAGTTGTGCAAGATGTAAACTGATTGAAGGATAATTTGTGATGTGTAAATAGCAATCTTTTGTTTTCAGTAATGTGTATTACATTTTCTAGCTTAGACCATGTAATGGAAGTGTACACCTTACTAGTATTTGTTTGAAGGCTGACTCTCAGACTACTGATGTTCTAGCAGGGTTATTCAAAGAAAAACAGGTGTGTGAGTTATCTGTGACAGGCTATAAACATAAACCAGTAATCTCGTGATAGCATGTACTGATATCTACTGCATAAACCAAATTACTAAAAGATACTAAGTGACATGACCTCTTACAGATCTGGGAACTCTGAAATTGTAATACATGGTAGTGGAAACTTTATTTTCTCTGTGGTAATAGATATTGGTACTTCAAATCCTCATCAAAATCTGAAGTTTGGCTAATTATTTTATAGCAGTATTAGTTGATCAGTTTGAGCAGGTGAGTCTTGTTCAACCCTGTAACAAGTCTGTGCTGTCACTCTCTAGGTGAGAACTGGTGAAGCTCTTTTCTCAGCAAGTATCTCTGAGCTTTTGTCAAAACCAGTAGGACTCGTGTAGAGAAGTACGAAATGGTGGTTGTACGGACAAGACTTGGGTCAGCAGTGATAGATAAGGTGTAAGGGTACAGTTCCACAACAGCTTAACTGTTTTAAATAGTTTGGTGTAGGGCAAGTAAAGCACTTGTACTAGCAGTTAAACATCCCCACCTGCAGAATTGTGATGACTTGAGCGCTGCTTCAACTTCAGCCTTTTTCATGCTGAGCACTACTTAGTAAAATTCTGTGATACCCAACCACTTATATTTGCAGGAAAAAAGAGGGAAGGCTAATTTGCAGAAGTTACTGGATAACTGCTTCTGTATCATACGGCCTAACTATTTTTAGGTGATTGAAGCGACTGCCTCTCTTAATGATTAAGTTCCCTTAAAATAGCAGTCCCAAGTCAGTGCAGTGATCATACAACTTCGGAGCATGACAATGGAAATGATAACAGATACCTTACCATCAGCTGACTCCACACTCTTGTCCCGTCTGTTCTCTCAGGAAGCAAGCATCTGTTATAATTTAACCTGAAAAATTCAGTTCAGGTGCCTCTACCTTTAAAGTATCATTTGTAATCTGTCAGTAATTGACTGTTGATAAAAGATCTCATGCTTGACATAACGTGACCAATGTAGTGAACTTGTTCTTTGAATTGGGGCTGACGCAAGTGTGGTGAGTTAACTTTCTGGAGTAATTGAACCATTTTATCTAAGTCATTTATGCCTAATTTCTCCTGTGAACTAAAACTTGCTGAACAAGAGCTATGTGTAGCCATCTAAAGCATATTTTGTCCATTTATGTTGTTCTAAACATGTTTGGTTCAAGTTTAGAATAAACAGTTAATTAAGGAAATGGGATGGTTCCACAATACCTAAGCTAGTAGTATATCAAGTGAAAATAAACTCACTTCTGTTCTTTTTGCAGGTAAAAAACTGGGTTAAGGAGTTAAGAAAAATGTTGGGAAATGAAATCTGTTTATGTATAGTAGGTAAGTTGTTCAACATGTGATTCTAATGACTGAATTGGAAATGTCTTTTTTGATTAGTAGCATCTTCCAGGCACTGCTTTGACAGCTTGTACATGTGAAGGGGTAAATCTTCGGTTAATTCAATACTTAATTTTAAGTTGGAGCTAGATGTTTCAGTAGATCACCTTGAGGAAGTTAAGTCAGATTCAAAACATAAGCTGTTTAATGATACACTGCATCAGAAGTGCATGGTACAGACACCTGCAAACTGTAGTTTAACAAAGAGAAACATAAACCTCAAATGTGCATTATTGTTTTTCCATGTACTCAGTCATGTGTTTTACTCTTTCTGGTAGCATAGACTAGATGCTTGTATGTTTTCATAATCAAGTGCTAGCAGGGTGGAGTGAGTCTTGAAACGTGGATATTTCGATGCAAATGGAATGCATCAGAAGTGCTGGGTTTAGATTTAAATTGGATCTAATAATTAAAAAGCCTTCATGAGGTTAGATGTATGGATGTTCTACAGAAGTGACCGCTGCAACACAGGGAAGTTGCTAATAAATTACAGAAAAGCAGAAGGCTGAATTGGATGGTTTATATGGAGGTGTTTGGCTATCCTGATCTCTCTGCAGAAGTAGCACTTCACTGCCTGGAAATGCTTGTGTGAAAGGAGATTCTCAAATCATAATTGTGCTGCAAATTGAGACCTGTATAAGAGTTGGTCTTTACTGGGACAGCTTGTAAGAAAATGATGGGGTGCAGTGTTTACATATTTGCATTATTTGAATAATTTTGGAGTACAAAGACTTGAAAGATTAACTTGTTTCCTACAGGTAACAAAATAGACTTGGAAAAAGAGAGACATGTTTCAGTGCAAGAAGCAGAAACGTAAGTCACACCAATTATTAATAGAAAGAGTCATTGTAGAATTATGGTGAAGTAATAAACTTGTGATACTGTTTACATAGCACCCAGCTAGGCACTGCTGGTTTATGCCTGCCAGTTGTTAAATGTTCTATTAGTATCTGAGTCCCAGAATGTCCTTACTGTCTAAAGTGTAACTTGAGTTGTATGTGATTAAAGTTCACATTTGCAGCTTAAATGCATTTCTAGACATGAAATTTTCTTCATGTCATCTAGTGTGTTATGCCAGTCATGGCAGTTCTAAACATGTGACTCCTTTTTTGACCTTAAATCAGCGTATGTAGATTAACTCAGAACTCAAGTAAAACCTCTTTTGCTTCATGTAAAGTGGCTTAGAAAGATCAAGGCATTTATTACAATGCAGCTCTGTATCTGCATTTCTACAGGTATGCTGAATCTGTTGGAGCAAAACATTATCACACTTCAGCTAAACAGAACAAAGGAATTGAAGAACTGTTTCTTGACCTTTGTAAAAGTAGGTATTATCCAGCTTGTTGGTAACGAGCTCATTCATAAAACGCTCAAAGCTTCAGAATGCGTTTAAGGCCATATAGAAAAGCTTTAATGTAAACTATTAGTAAGAACTGACTTCATTTGAGTCTACTTCAAGCCTCTCTTGTACTATAGCAGTTCTGGAAGCTTGATGTGTGGATGCTTACAATATTTTAAATTCATGCTGTACTCCAAAACTCTCATTTCTTGGAGCACTAACTGCTGTTCCACTCACCATGTGCAAACAGTAACCCAAATGGAACTTTATGTGCCTTGTCTCACTATTGCTTGCTTCAAGCCCTCTGTTTCAACCTCTTCTGAAAATCTTCTCCAATGACGTCAGTTACAAATCATAAACTCAAAACTGTAATGATGCAAATTTTACACAGCAGTCTAAGCAAATGGTAAAAAGGTCATGGAATGTAGGCTAAAAGTGTAACACAGGGAAGTTGTTCTATTCATTGTGTTTCCGTGGTAGAAGAGTTTCAGGAGAACTCATGCATGTCTGAAGAATTGGTTGTTTGGGGTTTTTGGGGGAGGGTGGGGTTTCTTGTTTGATTTTATTTTTGGAACAGAATGTTCTTGATAGAGGTGGGTGAATCTAGCTTTTGAAATTGCTAACTCCAGAACATCTAAATGTCTATAAGGTCTTCCTTAGTCAGCAGGAGCTGCTGATGTTTGATGCTTTATGAAGCAGATTTAAGTATGTTCTTGCAGCTATGTCATGTGATACCCAAGTACTTAGTTCTGCATAACAACAGGAGAACCATTCTTACTGAACTTCGTCTCTGTGAATGTAACTCAGATTAAGATCTCAAAGTCTTGTGTAAAAATATAGTGGAATGTTATCTAATAAGTTTCTGTCTTTACAGGAATGATAGAAACTGCTCAAGTGGATGAAAGAGCAAGAGGCAATGGTTCCAGTCAGTCAGGAACAGCAAGGCGAGGTGTACAGATCATTGATGATGAGCCACAAGTACAGAGCAGTGGAGGGTGCTGTTCTTCTGGATAATTATAAAACTGTGCATCACTGCCCTCTCAGTATGAAGACTGCCATATTCCAAGTCACACATTCTTTACCAATGGAGTAATAGAATTAACAGTATTTAAAAATAATCACATGTAACACTGCAGAGACCTTAAGTGCTAAACTAGTGGCGTCTGTGACCAGAGAATTGGCATTTTCTACAGTGGTTAACAAAGCGATTACCAATGGCCTTTTTACATATTTTTCTTTAATGAGGAATAATATGCATGTAGAAAAGACCTACTTAAAGGCTTCATTTATATTCTTTTAAATCAGATCATTATTTAATAACTTATATACATTGTTGTTGGAATGGTATACGTTTTTGCAGCTCTTTGTATTTTGTGGTAGATTGAATTGTATCACCTCTAAAATGCAAATTGATTTTTTTTTTTTAAATTAGCAGATACCTGAAATAATATTTTTGCAGGGCCTCCACAAGCCTATAACTCAACTACTTTGATATATTTTGTTCATCATGTATGCCAAGCTGGTAAAATACATTGTAAATTACATATGAAGTATTTTATCTGCTTTTACAATTGCAGGTGCAGAAATATGTACATCAGTCTTGTCAGTGATTGTGAAGTGAATAAGTCAGTGAAAGATGCAAGCTTTTCATGTGTACTGTTGAATTGCTCAGTCTATTCCCCCCTACCTGAAACCAGCTTTGTTTTGGGTACTTCCGTACCTACATCAGTTTTTTAATCCATTTCTGGCAAGCAGCAGTATTTAAGAGTATCCCCTTACTGGCAAGAGAATGCTTCTGTGACTGCTGTTTAACATTGAGGTGTTTGACTCCCAGATAGAACAGTTGGTGCATGCATATACTTTGCCTCTGCAGTTACTTTGTCCTCTCAGAATATCCCCAGAAAGTCTAAGTGACTTTAGCCCTCATCTGTCTGGAAACCAGTGAACCAGATGCATGGGAAACTCTTCAGCTGTTTTAATACGTTTGTGTCCCAAGGCAGCATTATAAATTATTCATAAGCATAATTTTTCCCCCCTGTATTGCAGGGCTTGAGTGAACAAACGAATTGGCAATAACTAGAACAACTTCTGATTTGGAGTGATGACATGGAAGATATAAAACTTGCCAGATGTAGTTGTAGCTTTGGGGATGCTAGGTAGAACTGAACTTATTCCTGACTTGTTCTTTCTCCTGTAAAGCATTTTGAAGCCCACTTAAGTTTTGGGAGGATGGTTTTCAGAAAAAAATGTATAAACTACTATCACAAAGGAACACAAATGGTGGTAGCTGAAACTTCAAAATGTTTTGTGCTCTGATATTTTTTTTTTTATTTTTATTTTTACTTAAGTTGTCATGCTTGGAAAAACAGTAAAGGTGACGTCTATGACAAAACACAATATCCTTGGCCTTTTTCTGAAGGGTAGAGTTAGTACTGCATATGAATGCATTGAATGGTTGTGGGTATGTTCTGGTACACAAGAAGAGTAGTAGTAACGAATTGGTGTCTGATATGTAAGAGAAGTGTGCTGTCTTCAATCTGATTTTTATTCTCTGAAATAATAGATGGCTTTGATACAGACTGATCTTGGTGCATTTTTTTCCCTTTCTGCCTAAATTGTGGTGTAGATACTTCCTCTTAGACTACCATTGCTGTGCTCTTCTGACATGATTGTGTGCATGATGGAGGAAGATGAGCTGTTCATGCTAGTGAAGATCAAGTTTCATGACTGTACAGAGCTTTGGTATGAGTCTAAAATTTAAGATTCTATGTGTATCTACACCATTAAGTGAACATTTTTATATGTAACAACACTGAGCTTTGACCAAGTTGAAAAACAGGTCAGTGATCTACAACCAGTATGTTGGCAGTCAGTCTTATAAGTGATACAATATTGATATGAGGAGTGAAATTGGCAATGTTCAGGAGTGGAATCCCATCATAATAGGAATTTGATCCAAGGTTTTTTTCTTTTCCCATCTCTGCAAAACTAACCCTGCAACCAAACAACCCAACCTCAACTAGGCTTAGTTGAAGCCTTGTGTAGAATGTATCTTTCTGTCTGCAGCCAAGTTTTTCTGTAGTATATTCTGTGGTAGGGGCATTCCATGTGACTTCTGTCAATTGCAAAGCTAACAAAGGTGTGTTGATATTAACTCTTGAGTCTTACAGTTTTAAAACTATTACTGCTGAAAACTTGAGTGGGGGTGAGGAAGTCTACGTTTTTGTAATATTAAAAAGGTTCTAGTTGCTATTCATGAAATATTTTAAAATAAATTCTCAAGTTGATTTTCTTAAGCTGTAACATTGAAAAATACTCACTGGAAACCTTCCTGTCTGTTAGTTTGGTTGGACTTTATGAAAGTTAAAACCTGTGCTACACAGGATATCATATATAACCTTACAAAAGAATTATAGCCTCATGAAGTCAGGGAAGATGGTTTCCAAGACAGAAGTGAAAACATGGATTGTTTAGACTGATTAACATAAGACTTAGCTATTCATTGCTAGCAGGTAAAACACAGCAGTTCCAGGAAAAAGCATCTTTATTGAAGATATCTTAGAATGTGCTTTGCCTTTGATGTAAAGGAGCACAAATAGCTCTATATTTGAGCAGGATCTTAATCAAGTAAGGTGGTGTTGCTTAGTATGTGGCTTTTCAGGAGTCTTGCATTTGATCTGGGTTCCCTGGTCAACATTGAGCACAATTCCTCAGAGTAAATCTTGACAAAGATTACTCACATACTAAAATAAAATGTTCTAACTTGCTACAAATGCCTTTCTAGAACAACTTTTAAGTACTCGCTCACAGTCTTGCTGCTGCTGCTATGAATACTTGAGCTATCTGTGAAACTTCAGCACTTGCTGAAATAAAATCTAGCAAACAAAAGTCCAACCAGTTCAATGCAGCTGTATGTACCTCTGGTAGGAGTTACTTATGGACATTGTCTTACTGCACTTATACTATAGTTGAGAAGTTATAAAAGACTTGGAGGGACTGATTCAGACAAGGACACTAATAAATTCAGATGTGTAGTACCTGGAGATGAGTGTAACTAGCTGTAAAGACTGGGAATGATGACTTCATCTGGTTTGCAGTGATCTTGCATGTGATTCTAAGATGGGGATATCTAATGTCTAGATGAACTGTATTGCTTGACCTCTTGAAGCAGTCAAGTAATTGAGTGTTACCTTGATTACATGATTTTCTTCACTGTTCACACATTGTTGGCAGGTATTCTTGCTTCCTACCACATTGAAAAGTATCCCCTAGCCCTTTTGATCCTACCACTTTCATTGTTCAGGTGTTTAACTTGTATCTCTGCCTACAGCTCTTGAAAAGCTTTGTAATTAAATTTCTACTTTAGATTCCAAGCCAGATGAAGGCTTTGCAAAAAGTTATGAGGTTATGGAAGGTGGTTAGAGCTCAAATGGAGTTCTCTGAAAATGCTGAATGCTGTCAAAAAAGAATCGTTTAAAGAAGGTAAGAGGAATGGAAGTCCTGCTTGAGGACAAATGCAGTTCAGGGATTCCTGAAGAAGCTGAAAGCAGTGAAGTGGTATGAGTAGTATAGCGTATGGGCATAAGAGAGTTGGAGTCAGCCACTGGGGTTTGTTTCTCCTTTTAGTGGAAGGCAAAGAAGGAAGAAAAAGGCAAGTGTTGGTAGTAGGCTGCTGAGTTAACCCTTTCTTGTAGCTACTAGCAAGCCTCTGCAATGGTAGTGCCTAATTCAAGACTTCCTAGGTTTTTCCTTCTGTGAAATACTTTTTTCATTGAAGACAGTACAACTAACTGAACAGGCTTTGACACAATACTAACCTACTAAAAACGTTTTTAGAATGTGCTAATTTATTAACTCTTTACACCTGACTGATTTTGTTCATCTTAGTTTGCATCAAATCTTAATATTTTTTTTTTCCTGAGAAGTCAGGAAATATATGATGCTATGAGGATAACTTTTACAGCAGCTGTATGAAGGAGTTCCAGATGATGACAAAGATACTTGGCACTATTTGCTGTGCAAGCTCAGCAGGGCCCCAAAACTAGCTCTTAACTGTGCTGGGCACTTGCTCATGCTGCTGTTTGGAGGGTTCTGCTTGACACCAGTGTTTTTCTTCTGTTTAGGCAAGCCTGTACATCTCAAAGATGCAGTTGTCTACTAAATTTAGGCTTTTTCTATCAAATAACAATGTATATTCTTTGCTCCTGCATTTTTTGAACTGTCACTGGCCACTGTATTGAATGAAATGAGATGGAGATGGTTTTAAGAGTTGTGGAGAATCTGGAATGGTTCTTGTCTTGAGATGGCTTGAAAAGTGAGACTATGAAACTTTCACCATTATGAGAAAGGTGGTATTTTGTCCAAGATAACAAAATATTTGTCTTGGAGAAATATTTACTGTATTCTAATTAAAAAGATAAATTGCTCTGCTTCCTAAAGGAAAACGTATTTCAAGATCTCTTGATTTGTAAGTTTTTTAAGGTTTAAGCTTGACCAAAGCCTTAAATCTATTGCCATGTTCTACAGGTGTAAAATATTTATGATTGTAGGAAGGAGTTGTGTTCTCATTCATAGTCCAGTGGACAGTCTGGAGCTTTGATTCTATTTGTTCAATTCCAGGATGTTGAAAGGTGGACTGCAAAAATACTTGTTTCCATCTATTTCCAGAGCTTTGTGCATGTGGGCAAGCAGCATGACCATCATGCATCAGCAGCTGCATGGTGACTGAAAAGAGGGCTCTGTGTCTCTCTTCCTGCTTGTTGGCTGCACTGATCCTCATTGTTAGTCAATTACTACAAGAAACTTGCAGTACTCTACAAGAAAGGAAATGTGTTCTCTGCTTCCTTTTCTAACACTTCTTGACGGTGATAGGTACTAAGTAGCAATACCCAGTTTAAAACATTGGGGTTTTTTCCTCTTGCATCTTGACAAGTCTTTTTTTTTTTTTTTTTTTTGGTGTATCTAGTCTCATTAATCCCTTCAAGGGATTTTAATTCTTCATTGTAGATTACCCAGGAAGAGTGCATTTTAAAAGTAGGACAGCAAAGGATGATGAGTAGCAGTATTTCAACAGTCTTCCCTAGCAGTTGGTCATGTCCTGTCTACAAAACAGTGAAGAGAGAATATTAGAAGTTTAGTGGTGAGTCCTTGCTACCTCTGTACCTAACACTTGATTCTTGGATATTGGAAGTGACTTGTATGAAATCCAAGTTGACTGGAGAGAGCAAGGACTACTTTCTCATTTGTTGCCAAGTAGTTGATATCCTGTGACAGATCCAAACTCATCTTTCTGAGCTGTTGAAGCTCTTAAATTGCAGGCCCTACAAGTTAATCCTCACTGTTCTGAAAAGTCAACAAATTTGGGACTTAGAGTGGAAGAGAACAAGTAGTTTCTTTTTCAGAACAGGAAACTTAAAACTGCTTAATCAGGCTTGTCTTAGTAAAAAGAGAAGAGGAAAGCATGTGATATCTAAGTCTTTTAAGTGCTCTTAGTGCTATTTGATCATACAGGCGTTACAGTGATTATTTTACTGGATTTTTCTCATCAGATAAGCTCATTGAATTTACCACACTCAATCAAATGGAACATGTTTCTTTGAATCTAGGGAAAATGTTAGCAGAGCAAAAGCCAATACTGAAAAGAATACAGCATTTTTAATATCAGGTAGCTTGACATTGTCAAATGCTGTAGGAATATACTGTTTGGCATTTGTGGATAAAATAAAATTTGAAAAAAGTATTTAGTATCTGGCAGAGGCTTCACAAATCTTAACTTTCCCAGTGCATTGCTGCAGCTGGAGTTCTTAAAGATGTCTTGGAGTATTCTATATGCCAGTGCATTTACAGGAAGATAGTCCTGTGATAAAGTAATTCCATATGATCAGTCAGCTATGGAAACAAGAACTTCTTTATCATGCTAATATTAAAAGTAAAAATGCATGGAAATGGATCAATAAAAAGGGCAATTAAAAAAGTGTGCTGAAAATCAATACAGAAAGAAAACTGTTTCTGTCACATCTGAAAA